TATATATATATATACTATGCATTATTTGTAATGACTTTGCTTTGTGTATGGGTACATGAAGCCCGTCCGTGTGATAGACTTACCTCCTCATTAGCTGCCACACTAAGGCCAGAGTGAGGGTGCGATTGCCTTCATGGAGATCATGGCCACCTATACCCACTAAAGAGAATCTGGCTTTGTTCCTTCCCAGTTCAACGGCATAATTACAATTCTCTATCTAAGGAAATGAGAAATATAAAGGTAGAAATTAACTCAATTTATTATGCTGTATGAGAATTGTGAGTTACTTATTAACCACTTCCCACCACTGCAAAGCATATACAGTACACGGCAGCGCAGAGGGTGGGCCTTAATGCCAGGCTGCCACATTTATGCGTCCATGGGGTCCACTGTTGTGTGCTGAGAGTGCACTCACTTTGAGCCCCCAGCACACTGACTGAGCTGTCACAGACAGCTCCTGGTCCCAGTAAAAGATAAGGAACCACAGGATGGGCCCCCGATCATATGACCACTGTGACAGCCAATCTTAAAGGTCCGAAGATCAGTACTTCATCTCCATGTGTCAGCATTAAGACCCCGTTATAGGGCTGGAACATGGAGACAGAGTCCTGATCATGAGACTTCTGTGATTAGCTGTCACAGTGATCACATGCTCAGGACCCCACTAGCTCCTGGTCATTTACTGGGACCAGGAGCTGTCTATGACAGCTCAGTCAGTGCGCTAAGAGTTCAAAGTAAGCAAGCTGTCAGCATTTTTAAACAAAAAAGCACCTTAGTTTTAGATAGAGTAGGAAATGGGTGAAACTGCTATTAGGTTGTTTTTTGGTGTCTGTGTCCCACTGCGACGATCTGTGCTCCAACTGGTGATTTGTTTCTCAGTTATTTCTCTGATGACAAATGTTGGATTTTCTATCACTTTTTGTCTCAGTGGCAATGGTCAACAAGAACATAGATAGACGAATCTCCCCAGCAGGGGCGTATACATCAATAAAACTCTTACCCACTCTACCCAAAAAATGCCTTTACATACACTTTAATTGCAGTTGTGTGTATATGTGAGTTTTTTTTAAAACAGAAATCCATTATTGTATACATATTACATTTCAGACAGCTTGCTCAGAGCTTCTTCTTCACACACACACAGTGCATAATGGATTTGTATGACTCAGTAATAAATATTTGCTTCTGGGCAAATGTAATAAAATGCAGTGCAACAGAACATTTGCTTCAGCATTTTTGACAAAGGTAATTTATTACAACAAAAGAAACTAACTATAATGACAAAGTGTAATATGTAACATTAAATGAACTTTCACACATACCTTTCTCATGTGTGCTCCAAGAGGTGGAAATGGAGGTTTGTTGACACGATCCCAGTCAACTGACACCCGTGAGCGCTCGTATAATTGGAAGATGACTAAAGCATCGGTCAGGTCACTATGAACAGAGCAGAAGGAAAACAAGAACAATGCAAAGGAAATCAATATTCTCCAAGAATATTTTATCTGATAGACAACAGAATTCATTAGCGTGGACATGTTTGTACATCAACTCAATAATATAAAGCTGCAGTTAGCCAAAGTCGTTAGCGGTTTCTGGATTACAGTTACAAAATACTAAAATGAGTCGAAAAGAACTCTGTACTATACTTAAAGCGGAATTATAGGTATCGGATTATGCCAATTATAGCATCTGCCGAGTGTCAGGATAATTGAACTCCCATGTTTATGTGCAGCAGTTACATCAATCTGGGTCATCCAATCAAGGTAGCTGAAGATGCCAAACCTGGGAGAAGCCAAGTAGAAGATGTCGATGCCAGCAAGGGGGCTCAGGGATGTTACATCGTAGGAGAGTAGGTAAGTATAGTTCTGCTTTTACAACCTAATAATGACAGTGTACTACTACTCATTAAATTATACTAAAAGTAGAGGAGTTGTTAAAACTCCTTTCATGTTTTTCCATCTATGTCCCATTGAGGGGGATTGTCCTTCACTTTCTGTCCTGTAGACTTATAAGGATGTGAGTGGTAATCACAACAGAGCAAACTAAATCCCCTCTTAGCTGTCACTGGAACAAGTGTCCCCATTGGAAGACTTCCCTCTATTGCTGTTCTTGTGCTAACTCAAAATTTCCCTCACTTTCACTCCTGCTAACAACAGTCATCAGGAAAAATTAGAGAGGAAAATTTTCCCTAGCACAAACACAGATGGGAATCAAAAACCTGAGGTTCTGACCCCATCACCACCAATTTGTGTAAAAATCAGGCAGCCAAATTCAGGTAAAATATCAAGCACTTCCCCAACAGTCCTTGCTGGCTAACCTGCAAAATCTTCAGATGTGAAAAATGCCTCACAACATATTTAATAAGGAAAAAACAATATGCCACTTGCAGTAGCTCATAGTTACGATTCAAATCAACATTTTCTGATTTCAGCAAAAACAAAATATATTTATCATATACAGTATAAAGGGTGCGCATGTATTACCTGTATAAATGGTTAACATAGGGACTCACACCAAGTGAATTCATCCAGTTCCGGAAAGTTCTCTCCTCATTTGTCTCTCCTGTTTGTGTGAAAGACAAAAAACATTAAATTATAACATGTAAATGACTTACAATCTACATACAATAAATAGTGTAGGCATTTAATACAATAACATATGCTGTAGTGTTGTATATTTGTTCTGAATAATGAAATAAGCCTGTGTATTTTTCAGGCACTTCCTTTGAAGTCTATGGGGCAAAAATGCCCTATCTTGCTTCTACAGTAGAGCATGTACCTTTTTTAAAGAAGAACTCTGGGCATAACTATTCTTAACCCTTGCAGTGGAGCTACTCCCACACTACAGGTGTTAAATAATCATTTTTTTCTAGGGATGAAAATAAAAAAAGATATACTCACCTAAACCTCAGAGCCAGCCAGCTGACATATTGGACGTGACAACTTGCAGGACCTAAGACCACTGGAGTCGAGGGAAGGGGGGGATGAAGGGACCAGTCTAACAGCCAGATGGGTTCAAGGTTCAAGTGAGTAGCTTATTTTTCGCTCCATATTTTTCGCTTCCCCAAAAGGCGGGCAAAAATGTCTCTACGTCTTATGGAGCGAATGTGTGAGAGCTGAGGCGACGGGGCTGATAGTGTACCCAGGAGTGTGGAATTCCTATCGCCCTACGCCCGGGACATGCAGTTTCGGGCGCCATGCGAGTAGTTTTTTTGTACATTTAGCCCTGTTCTTGACAAGCAGAGCTAAATGTATAGTGTGGAGCCACCGCTCATTTCCATACAAGTGATCTGATTAGATCACTTAAAGGGAGCAGCGGCAATCCAGTCCCCCTCCCCCGGCCGCGGTTTTCGGGGGACCCGTGACCACGGCATAGGAGCCCCGCATAGAGCCTGTGTGATCAGAGACTGCGGCGCTGTGATCACAGCACCACCTGTCTCAGCTGTCAGTAACTACACAGAACCCTACCCTCCCTATGGTCAGGTGCGCCTTATGGAGCGAAAAATAAGGTATATTTTTTTTTTACTTTCATCCCTAGATAAAAATGAGCACTTAATCCTTGCAGTGTGGGAGTTGCCCCAATGCAAGGGTTGAGAATACTTATGCCCTAAGTTCTTCTTTAAGCTTTGGCCATTGAGCTACAGATGCCTGAGTGCTCATATGTGAACAGTGCCCTAATGTTTCTTCCTGCCTGAGCCTGCGGCAGACTGACCACATCTCAACCTAAACAAAGTAATTGGACTGGAGCTTAAGGAGAACTTTTGAATGATAAAGGGTACAGCTTTAATTACACCACTGCTGCAATTTGTGACATAAAGTTACTAAAAGCTCTATCCTAACTATTATACCCTAAATATGCTTTTGAGCTAACGAATTGGGACAAATTCAGTTCAGTCTCCAGCCTGTTCCCAGAGCAGTAGTGTATCTTTGAAGTGAACCTGAGCTTTGCCTTTGCAAAGCAGTAAGTTTAAATTGTTGCCAGCACCCCCTCCTGCATATACCTACCCAGGGTCGGTGCTAAACTATTTTGCGCCCTAGGCAAGACCAGCTACTTGCACCCCCCTCCCGTGGCGCAACCCCCAATCCCCCCCGCGCAGTCCCATTCTCCTGTGGGTTAGCTACTGCATGCTCACACTCCCCTTCCTCTCATGTTACAGTACTAGTGCTTGGCAACTTGCTGCTCAGGTACTAGTGCCATCATATCAGGGTGGAGCTCTAAGTGGGATGGACTAGAGTTTCCACCGGTCTTCAATTCCTCATTAATAGAGTGGCAGTGGACTAAAGGTAAAGTATTGTTACAATGCTGTTGGTGCTGGCTTTAAAGTAAACCTGTTAAATTGCCCAGCCAATACATGCGCTGCCCTGAAAATACATGGGGGGGTTACTAAATCTGGAGCAGATGTGTATGGTAACCAATCAGCTTCTACCTCCAGCTTGCTCAGCTTTTAAGCTTTGAAAATGAAAGCTAGAAACGTATTGGTTGCCACCCACAGCTGCTCCAAATACCGACTGCTCTTGTCCTAGTAGATCCTCCTCTCAGTCTTTCATTGCTAAGCAATACTTTTTGAAAACACTATTTACCTTAGTGTCGATCCATAAGCCTCAGAACATCTTTAATAATTATGCAATTTAAAAGTTCTGACTTTTGTATGACTTTCCTAGCTGCAAAAAGTCAGGGACTTAGTACGGAGATCAGGAAACAGCCAGGTAACAATTTTTAGGGTGGTTTCAACAGTGGCAATCTATGTATTTCTCCCAGAACAGGTTTCCTTTAAAAAGGTAAAGTGGAAATATCGCATTTGCTTGGGACCACTACCTGTAGGGAAGCAGTGATGTTCTTCTTTGCTGAGAAGAACAGCAAAGTCCTAAACCCACTGTTGAGGGTCTTGCTGTAAATGTTACTAACAAAGGGTGCTGCAGATGAAATCTGGAAATAGTACTTCAAAGTTTAATCTTAGCCAAGGATCGGTGTGACCCTTCTGAAACAGCAGCAGTAAGCTGAACTCCACAAAAGAAGCCATAGAAATATTTGAATTGCTTAAATTGCCCTGCCTGATTTGCCAGATTTGCTTCTAGTGTTGGTCCACCTGCTTCCAGTAGTGCTGCAGTACAGGGGATCACAGGAGACTGTTATCAAGACAAGGTCAGCTATAATCACCACAGTTCTTTAAAGCGGACCTTTACCCATATCTTTAAAATAACAGCAAACCCACCTTTAGAAACATTTAGTAATGACAACCTACAAACACATCTAAATAATTGCAGGCTTTGTATTCTTTGCATACATTATTTCTCTTTTTTTTTCTAATACTTCTGACAGTGGCCATGTTTACTAGGGCAGATTACTAGCTCTCCCTTTACTTCCTGGAACTCTGGCACATGTGACTAGAAAGGACATGTGACCTTGCACATCATCTCAGGGGAGGAAAATGTCTTTCCCTGAGATCTGTAAATGTGTTTACAGATGGGATTTCCCAGCAATGCTCTGCTGATGACAAGCCAATCCCAATGTGCATTGCTTTGGCAAACTGAAGTATATGTCTATGTTATTTTTTATCATCATACATAGAGGGATGCATTGGTAGAATTTGATTTTTGAGTATAAAGGTCCACTTTAATTTACATTTAAATATACAATTATTGACTTTAGTGTCTACACATTGTATTAATTGGTGTTGTTTATATATGCATGGAGTTCAGCTTTACATCTGCCCAGTGCAAGATGCCCAGTGGTCCCAAATGGTAGCGAATAGACTACAGCACTATAATGCAGTTACCAATCAATAAGTAGCACCTATCTTAACATGCCTGCTCCAGCTTCCCAAGTACCCCAAACCCTGGGGCACTGTATCACAAACATTTTTGACATGGGTAGTATCCAGACCTTACCCACTCCTTCTGACTAGTGTATGTATCCACTGGCTCTTCACTGCCTTACTGGGCAAGAGTAATGTGCGGAAAGTACAAGGGGTGATGCATTGATGCTGGCATTGTAGTGCTCTAGCCTGTCCATTACCGCTAGCATGCTGACAACTTTACTTTAACTCTGAAGGGAATGTATAGTGTTTTCAGTATTCTTTATTAATTATATTGACTACAGGAAAAATACAATGCTATACTTTGAAAAATGTGTTTATAATTAGGTAGACGTGAAATAGTACTTAATATTTACAAATTGTAGCTAGCAGGCAAACTCCAAGCCAAAGGAGTCGCTTTTGTCAGTTTTTTGTCAGTTTATTTTCCAGCTAGGCTAAGAAAAAGATCTAAATAGCAGGGAGATCAAGTTATACAGATTGCACAGTTAGCCACAGAGGAGGAACCTGCTCTCGCCCCCTTTTTCTAATAGTGACAAGACCTCCCTGATTCCTAGTAGAGAACATATGGCTTCTCCTGCCCCCCTGCCAGACACGCCCACCCGCCCGCACGCATGCCCGACGACCTGTTTGTGACTTCCTGGACGGCAGAGCGGACAGCTGCAGCCAGGTAAGACATCCCCCGAAAATAAGACCTAGTGTCTTTTTTCGTGAAAAAAATAAAATAAGACACTTATTTTCGGGGAAACACGGTATGTGTGTGACCAAAACCATTATACTTTCCCTTGTAAGTAAATGATCACCACACAGGAACCACACTACAACAAACCTTAACTACATGCAAAAAGAAACGCATTCAAAGACAGCTCACTATGAAGCTTAAAAAATGAACATATACTGTACCTAAAACATAATTAAGGGTAATATCTGTGGCACATAGAAAGGAATAACCCAAATGCACTGTATTAGTAATCACATAATTAATGTATGCAATATAAGAATTTAATCAAATCGTTATTAGGACCCATGTCAACAGGCTTTGGGCTTGTGTCAAAGGGCAAATAAATCATGTTTTGAAATAAATTTTATACACTTTTGAGATCATTCAGAATTCATTACAAGTATTGTTGGCCTGCTTTGACCTTCTTTTGGCCTGCTTCAAGCTGCAGTTGTGACACAAACAAAAGAACGTGAACATAGGTCCTTATAATGTGAATTCACTAAACAGCATTCATTATTTTTACTATTTTTTAATCACATGAAAATTTTCTAATCAAAATGTTAAATTCCCATATAGCAATCCCATATACTGCATAGGTTTGAAATTGTTATTTTGTTCACATCAAATGGTTATTTATTCACTTAAAGCAAACTGTGCTTTGCTAATGCTTCACTCTGTCCAACTGCTGGGAGAAAAGAAAATACCAGGTATTTCCAGGTATGGAGGAGCATGTGACTCACACCATGTGACAGCACTGGTCCAATCAGTCCATAGCCCTTTGTAAGCTACAATTTAGGTGACTCTTAGCTTACACAGGGCAGCTTCAACTATTCCCAATAACCGAGGGATCAGGAAAGAAAGAAAATGGTTAGTATGTGCTGCTGCGGATGGGGAGGAGGGGGTGCACTGGGGTAATAACATGAAAATATTGCTTTTTAGTGACACTAAACTCAGAAGTTTAACTGTAGATCTTCAAATCATCTCTGAATTCATGCTGACACTGTCCTTCCTTCTGGAGGGGGGCTACTTTTGTTCCCCATGGTCCCTGTGTGTGTTGTAAAGTAGTCACCACTCCAAGCTTGCTCCTGTGATGAACTACAATCTCATGTTTAGTCTACTAATTTGTATTGAGATTGTAGTCCATTACAGGAGTGAGCTTGGAGCGGTGGCTACTTTAGAACACACACAAACGTAGCCACCCTCCAGAAGGAAGGACAATGTCAGTGTGTATTCAGAGATGATTTGAGGATCTACAGCCGAGCGATACACAAATAAGATACATTTTTATTAATAGATAAGTTACATGAATACATTTTTAAGATTTAAATCCTGAGTGGAGTGTCACTAAAAAGCAATATTCTCATGTTATTCTGCCAGTGCACCCCCTCCTCCCCATCCCCAGCAGCACATACTAACCATTTTCTTTATTTCCTGATCCTTCCATTTGGTTATTGGGGATATACATTTTTCTTAATAGTTAGGGTACTAAATGCATTTTTAAGATTTAACTCCTGAGTTTGGTGTCACTTTAAATACACAATTTATCTTTAATTGCTATTTTATACTTTAACACTATGGAGTGTTGTTTTATCTCAACCCGGAATGGTACCCTTTTCTCCTGTCTTAAACGTAATGCTTTATAAAACCTCACCATTGACATCAGCCAGAATGAACATTAGTGAAGTAAACTTTACATACAAATCAATGCACAAATGAATAAATACCATATGAAATTACAGTGCTTGCTGTCACTTAATATTTAGAGCTACTATTTTTAATCCCATCAGATACAAACTTCTAATGGCACACAGCCATTAGGATAATGAACAAGTATTGGTGCTGTAAAATATTGACAAATCCTGCGCCTGTAAACAAGAGTCCAATAATTGAAATACAGAAAAAGGTTTCTCGATTTGCCATATTCGCATCAACACGGAAAAATTTGTCAGCATGCATTGAACACCTCACTTCTGCAGTTCTACAGGGGGAACCCCAATTTTAGTGGGACTACATCAATTAAAATGACATGTAGGAGCCCCAAGTTATTAAAATATGATTCTGAGATTCGCTAAAATTCATCCAGCAACAGTAATAGTTTGGCTGTGTTTTCATCCTTGGTATGGTGTGAATTTTAGATTGTAAATGGACAAGAATACATAAAAGATTATTGTGCACTCGGAAAACTCGGAAATCTATAGTAATTGATTTAGTCTGTGAGATCTCATGATGCTATATCTAATGTTTTACTTACCTTCTATTGAATCAAAGTCATACCCACTGGTTTTGTGCAGAGCTGGAAACATGTTGAACAGATTTGCTACAAAAGCTAAGTTCAGTTTTGGGTTTCCTGAAACCACGTCGGATGCTGTGACAAACTGCCGGCCCCCCACTTTGTCTGCTTGGTTCAGCATGTAGTCGGCCCGCTTTATATCGTTGGGTTCCTGTCAAAAAGACATAGGCAGACAGGTACAACGTGTATAAAGTGTAAAAGTATGTTATTTAGCTGATTAATCTGTTTACATTAGAAGGCTGGCAGGCTTACATGATTCTGGTGAAACAGAAAGTAACAGGAGAAGAGATAAGATTTCAGTAATTCTGTTGTGAACCTTGAAGATGATTTTTTCCACAGTGCTTATAGCTATAGAGGTGAATAAGGGTATTTTTATGCATTTAAATACTTTAGTGTGCATTGTTGGGGTACAAGTTCACCTGAGGGCTGTGCTAAACATGCAGCAACCGATGCTCGCTGGAAAAAACAATGCGGATGTGCCGATCCCAATGCATTGCACTGTTACCTTTTTTTGTTAGAGCTTTATTGAAATGCAACAAGTGATAATTTATGAATTTCTATTCACTGCAGCAGGGTTGCAATGTGGTGGTTTGCGCCCCAACACTCATGCAGTACTTTTTTTAGTGCAATCTAGGGTGTGCAATGACTGCATTAAAACAAGGCTTTTTGCCTTGTCTGTGCATTGAAACTGCACTGGGCAAGGCTGCCAGAGCGAATGAAAACATTTGAAATTGTTATTGAACATTTTTTTTCTTAAACTGAAGTTAAAAGAGAATTTTGGGGTGAGTGAAAAAACACTCATCCCCATAATTCAAGCCGGCCTGTGACACTGAAGCTGTCACATGACAGCTCTATTGATCAGGAAAGTCAGTGAACACATACCGCCGATCGCTGACTTTCCGATCCTCTCCCTTCAGAGGGCGGTGAATGTCAGCCTCCAATCCTCCAGCGCTGCCTGGAGGAACAGATGGGGGAGGGGGTGGGCACAGCTGGCTCTGCCTCTACTGAGGCAGAGCAATCAATCACCCAGCTGTCAATCACCCAGCGGTCTGGATCTCAACTGTATTGTCTGGATCCGCCCCGACTGCGCCACGGTTCTGCGCTCTTAGCATATAGCCACTATATACTGAGTTTTGGGTCACAAGAGGATATGAGTATGTGCTCCTGTGACCCTGAAGAGAACTATGGCCAAAAAGGGAAGGCTCATAGTTCTCTTTTGACTAAACTCGCAACGCACCTGGACAATACGAAATGAGTATATGGTAAAAAAAATACATTAGAAAAGGCTACTTTCAGTGAAAACCACACTCCGAAATAATTGGTGGACATTATAAGCAAATCTTAAGTCTATCTGTAAAGGCTCATCTTGGCTCCACACCCTTCCACCTCCAAATCCCTGCCTTGGTTGGCATCACTAGGCAATAGGAATGCTCAACAAATGGCAGAGGTGGAGCAAAGCTCAGCAAACAGGGTTTGCATATAACTTCAGAAATCCCTATTTCTGCATCTATCCATTATTTTAACATTTATTGAATCAAGAAACAAAAAGTGTTAACTTACATTAAACCCAGCAAAGTCTATGAACACATCATCCTTGGGGGCAATCTGTCTTAGCAAATGGAAGTATGCTTTGGAATCCTTAGAATAAAATAAATACATTTGGATCAGTATGTCAGTATCATAACATTTATTCCGTTAACTGTAAAGTACTGATTTACTAAAGGTAGTAACATAAACACTAGTCTGTGTTCACTTGAAAGACCAAGCAGGTTCCCAAGAAATTTCTATGAGCTTTACTTCCTCTGAATATATTTGAGTATGTAAAGTGAAAATAGACTGATGAAATAAATATAATTTTTTAGTAGATCATTCTTGGATTTTTGGTAATAGTGGAAGAGTAAAACATAAAAAGAAACATTCTTTGTTATGTGATGTTTAATAAAGGTCAAAAGAATTCATAAAGCTTAAAAAGTTTCATTAGGAATGTTTCATTTTTTAACATAATGCTGCCATCTTTCTTAATAAGAAATATGCCACCAAATGAGTGGGTAGTGAAAAGGAAAACTGAGATTATAAAGTGAATTTCTACCCTGAGTGTTTTCAACTGACTGCAGAATGTTAGTGTATACCTCCCTGGTCATCTTGCAGAGCTCCCTGGAAATCCCTAAAACCAGTGGCATTCTCAGTTGGAACTGTGAGTGAGTAGTGAGTGAAGCACAATGCTCAGTCTTCTAGTTCTTCACCAGCTGGAGGTTTGAGAGCATGATATTGATGATAAAGAATTATGCAAGTGGTGAGGGAAGTAATGGAAAAACCCATAAAATTGCAGAGGCACCCAAATCTTCAGTAAAAAAATGATAAGAAATGATCCATAAAGGGACATTTATTAAACACTAAAATGATGCGTTTCATGACTAATTTTGTCACATCCTCAGGTTTGTAGTGTAGATTTTGCCACCTCTGCTATTTTACAGACATTTTCCATTACTTCCCTCCTTGACTGAGCAAGGCAGTTGTCAATTTAATGCAGGAAGTGGGCAAAAATCCTTCTTGAGAGGAAAGGGCAGCAGAGGAACTTACGGACAGGAAAAAGAAATGGAAAGTTTGTTAAGATCTCTGTTAAAATATCTTCAGAATATGTAATTTTGTATATGTATAGCATAGTATATATGTGGTGGCTTTTTCTATATTTTGATACTAATATCTCATGATAATATCTCATCAATAATATGACCACTAGATGATGTTCGAGGTTAAGGAAATATAGAGTCAGTTCTGGACACACCTTTATGTCACTGCTGAAATTTTTTATATTTGGCCACTGAGCATTGGTGAGGTGGTAGTTCACCCAGCGCAGCAGGAGCTCTTCAGGGGACAGTTTCATCAAATCTTCCAGGTTTTCCCCATCTTTTAGTAATGCAATCAGAGCTAGAAAAGGACAACAATTCACATTATTATATTTTTTAAATCACCTTACTGCCCTTATTCAGTCATTTAAAGTAAAGAGCATTATGCAAAGTCCAACTACCCACAGCAACCAAAGTTCATACCCTTTGCACTTTTTATACATTTTATAAACAAGCCCCCTCCCTCTTTCTCGAATTACCTTCATTCTTGGAGATTTCAATGTCAGCAAACAAACCAGCCTTAATGATCTGCCATAGGAGCCCAAGCACCAAGTGTGCTTTTCCTTCTTGTAAATCGTGTGCACCTATATTTACTACTGTACAGCCAATGGCAGAAGCGGAATTCAGAGCCAAATTGATATTTTCCTGGAGAAATATAATAACATAATGCGGTTTAAAAAGAAGACAATTAATCTATACAGGTAATTTGGTATTACATTGATCACTTACTGAAATAGTGAATGGTGTCAGTTTAGTCTTGTTAATAGCCCTCTCATCAATAGTGTCTGGCTGGGACAAGTTGATCATTTTGCTTAATTAAAAACAAAAAGAAATAAATAAATCTTTGTACACAACACTTGCCAGTTGTACATAGAGACATTAGACTATTTGATGTACTAAAGGCTAAAGTAGAGTATCTAATTAGCATAGTGAATGAGGTGAAGCTCTGCTGACTTCCATCATCCAATCAAGTGCAAGCAAAATTACAGGTTTTTTTTCCCTTGCACATGATTGGTTATTTTTGCAAAGTTAATTTTCACAATATTCACTAAGCTAGGGGGAAACCTCACATATAAAGTTAAATTTGCAGAGCTATTAGCTCTGTGAATCTGGGAGCGTTCAATCTGTGCAAATAGATGGGGAAAAAAACGTTTTTACATACATTTTCTTTTCAAGTCGAATTAATATAAGAGGGAGCTGGGGACCACAGGAAATAAGTGTTTCTATGCTCCCCAGCTCCATCTAGTGGGCAAAATGCAATACTTTTTACATTATATTCAAACTGAAAAGAAAGCATACTAAGAACGTTCATATTTGCCTCTGCACAGAATCATAGTTCACTGAGATTCACAGGGCTAATTGTTTATAAATAGACCCTTTAATGTAGTTATAAGTAAGAATCTCGTATGATTGCTTATTACTGAATTTTGTGTTTAGGCTCATATTTTGTTCTCACAATACAAACTTACTGTGGTGGTGTAATCATGTGGTAATCTAAATGTATTTGGAGTGGAAACATATGCAACATATTATTTGGACTGGATTTACATGTTTTATTGATTTACTAGCCTTATTGCTGTTGTTGAGTGTAAGTGTATGTACACTAATTGTGCGCCCACAACAAAAACATATCTTATGGCATAGAGGGATTGGAGTGAGTACAGCGCATTCATGAGAGGGTACATGACTACCAACAGATCAAGTATCATTAATATCTTCACTCAGCAATACAACCGACAAAAGAGCGTGGTGTCTAGAGAATATGGAAATGTCACAGGGCATTAAAAGTTCTGGCGTTTCTGCCAATAAGAAGGTCTGTGTTTCTACGGTGGTGTAAAATAGGATATCAAGGCTTAAAAAGATCATTGTGTTAAATGAAGTAGAAAAAGATAACAATGCACTATTATAAAGAAATACATTTAGAAAAAAGATGTTCCCATAGAAATGCTGGGTATTTCAAACAATATGAAATTGAATGGTCCTTGAATATGTTGGATACCAAAGTAATTGATTAAAAAGAACTGGGCACCTTGACAAGTCATAAAAAATGTATATCTCTCTCCTGTTTCCTATTAAGATAACAAAACAGGCAGCTAATCCATGTGGAAACAGAACAGATACATTTTTGTGCTGTAGAAAGGATGGCAAAAAAGTGATGGGGCCAAGACTAATCTAAATAGGTAAAAAAAACACATCTATTTCCGGAACTAGAGGAGACATGTCCTGATTCCTGAAAACCTGGACGGCCTGACACATGTTTAAAGCCACAGACACATGTGCTGCCCTAACCCAGTGAGAATTCTCCCATGCTATCACAACGCATTAAACACAATCCTTTCCCCTTTCTGATGAAACCCCCCCAATTCCAACTGTTTCCCCACACAAATCGGATATGAGGAAGGCCACTTTCCACACCGGGGGAATGGACAGGTCTCTCTCTCCCTTTTCCTCCTGAACCCCTTTTCTCTGAACTAAGATCACACTCTTTTTCTTTCCCTATTCTACCCCACAATATATCCTTGAAACGAACATTGGAAACCTTGTACAGTTTCCTGTGGTGCACTTAAATCAACCATAACCCGATCCCCACACTCCATACTCTTATTCCACCCCGGATACTAGCCGCACTGATCTGTACTAATACAACTTTATAGCAACATCTGGGTTAACCCATTGCACAAGATTATGCCCATTCTATATGTTTACATGACCCATTTGATTGAATTAGATGGATGAACATTTGACCAACCCTCTTTTATTTTATTTGTATTTTATTTAGTAGGTTTTAGTATAAAACCTTATGTACCCAGTCCTCCCCTTTTGGTGTTGACTTATTACGTTGACTATGTGCAATGATCTAACCATTGTTTAATTTTGTCTATTTCTGCAAGGTTAAAGCTTGTAAGTCTGACACCTTTGTATAAACCAATAAAAAGATTTACTTGTGAAAAAAACCCACATCTATTATCTATCTATCTATCTATCTATCTATCTATCTATCTATCTATCTATCTATCTATCTATCTATCTATCTCCGGATATTTCTTCTCTTTTACTGATATCTCAGTGCAAGTCTGTAATTGTTTATCAGTATTTTCACCCAAGAGTCAAACAACTTTCGCCCATGAATCTTGGGTGAAAAAATTTACCCAAGTGGCAGCTGAGGACCTGCACTAATTCACTGATTTCCATACAATGAAGGGAATTTATCAAAACTAGAGCAGACAAAATCTGGAGCAGCTGTGCCTGGCAACCAATCAGCTTCTTTCTTTCATTTTAAAATCTTAACGCAACAAACTGAAGAGAGAAGCTGATTGGTTGTCATGCACAGCTGCTCCAGATTCTGTCTGCTCCAGTTTTGATAAATTCGTCCCAATCTGTTTATAGCTTTTCCTGTAACCTGTTTTTATGTTAGCAATCCCTAATTTGAGATAAAGACAACAGCTAAAGGAAAAGTCTACAAATCTATATGATATGCCATCAATTTAAAGTTACATTAAGCTTTTTAAACTTTATGAAACACACCAAAACAGGTATAACAAAAACTCTATAGTTTCTCTATAAAATTCCATTTTGCGGTATTATTTAGTTGCTCTTTACCAGGATTGTTGACGTTATTGTTTCTCTGTACCATATACACAAGGTGTCGATGTATAGGACAGATATTGCTTAAACTGGGTCTGAAGCAGACCGATCTGCCTACAGTTTCATGCACTGAGAAAATGTTGCTTCTTTTATGTATGGGAAAACCTAGTGTTAGGCTTAAAGTCCATTTCCACCTTTGCAAGTGATTAGCATTTATTGTGGTAATGTAGAGGTGCCGTGATGATGTATATGTGTGCACATTTTCAGGACTTACATTGCTGGCTTCCTTCATTTTTTTTTTTCATAATCTTTTTATTCAATGTTTTCTCCACAGGAAACTGAGTCTGACACCGGGGTCAGATTGTAGAGCAGGCTGTAAACAGCTGCCCCTCTCCCTGTAGCACGATCACTAAACACCAACTCTGCCTTTACACTATCCAGGGGGGTTGCCACTATGAATACTAATGAATGGGAGGTAGAGAGCTCAGAGAGAGCTCAGTTGTAATATACACAGATTGCTTGCAGACCACAGAGGCAGCTATTTCCATGAGGATATGAAGAGGAAAGCTAACACAAAAAGCAAGTTTCGGTGTCATATACAGCAACTTCATATACCTGTTTCATGCACAGTCGGTGTACATTGCTGGCATGTTTTTTGTTTTTTTTTAAATACCTCAGCAAGGGTGTAAATGCGCTTTAAGTCTCTAAATGAATTCATACTGAGAATAAAAGGTATGATTCGAGGAAGTGAATCAGTCTATCTTATTCACACAGTAAAAGATGGCATTCTGGTCCACTGGGCACTTTATTAAACAATAAAAACTGGAATGGATACTGTAGAGGAAATAGATAATTTTTAAATATACTTTTTTTAGCGTTTGGGAGAGAGATCAAACCTAGAGAACACCTAAAATACCTGGCAGTGCACGTTAAGGCTTCCTACCTGCGTATATGGTAATATGTTACAGTGATTATAGGAAGGATAACTATTCAGATATGCCTTGTACATGCATTACATGAAATAAACAGTATAAGTAGTAGCTGCACTAGAAGCACTTACCACAGTAAAATGCCATCCCTGAGGGATGTAAACAGGCTGCTGTTGGTGGGCTCCATGGGTAGAATATGCTTACAGTCTGGGTCATCTATCAGCTCTTGATTTATCCAGTTTGCGAAAGCCACTTTCTCTTCATCTGAAAGAAGCAGTAGCACAGTTATCTACTAGGAGAGTATTGACAATTTGAAGATGCTGACTTGTCCTTTGATAACCCCAAGGCAGACCAAGAACTTTAGAGTATCACTTACCAGCCCATACAATGAACTGAACACTAATGGACACAGTGTGTTACCTGAATATGAATGCTGTGTTCCCTGGCTGGAAATGTTTGAGGTCCCTCCTAAGGCTGTTATCCCTTGCTTCCTGGTAACTGATCTTCGGAATGATCGACTCACATCTTTACTTTTAATTTCCTGCGCTAACTGTAGAAGAAAGCAAACGTATGAAGCAATTGTGTTTAAACAAGGAGTGTTTAGAATTAATATGGTTAGTAAATTGACATGCGACATGTAAAGTATTGTAAGGCTATTTACAATATGACTTAAAGCACTACTATTCTTAAATTGTATGAAGTCTTGAGCTAGCCATACGAATGAGTGGACGTTTGGACATGCCAATGCCAAGCAAAAATCCCATGGGCATGTACATGTGCATGGGGGAATGCTGCAAGTGTCCTTCTGGAGTTTAATGCCACCCACAGACATGATGTCATTTCCATCACCTACGTTAAAGTGAACATGTATTAGTGAACAGGAAAAAGCATATTATGTTAGAGCAACGGAGAAAAATATATGGCCCCTACCACCCATGTGTTTTTAAAACGAATAATATTCAAAAGTAAGCCAGTGGTGACTGTTAAGTACATTTATTTTCTGTTTTGTCTTTCAAAATACAAGCTGCCTGCTGTTGTTGCTGAATAATTACCTCGGTTGCTGGGTAGATCTTCAAATCAGCTGACTGTTGGTGGGAAAACAGCTGGCCAATGAGTATAACCTCTCACCTGTATAGTCACTTCTGTCACTGGACGGTGTCAGCAGTTACCTCAGGATTGGCAGCTGGACTCACCTCTGGATTATTTTTAGCCTTACCTGCTACTCACCCACCCTCCCCTTTGCTCTACTTTCACTTGTGGAGGTCAATCTTTATGGGGTAATGTCCCCCACTTTGTGGGTGGACAGTGGTTGGTAGATGGTAATTTGGTTGGTGTAAGTTATTGCTGCTTGAGTCTTGATGACTAAGCATGGTGGTCTGTTAATGGTTAACAGTGGTTCTGTTTAGTAACAAAGGTCTATTTCATGGTAAGAATTCATAAAAACCCAATAACTGGTCTGTGGCCTATACTTTTTCCAAAATGTATGTTGTGTGTTTTTTTTCTTTGTTTTGTTTAGGTGTATTAGTATGTATACTGCTTTAAGAAGTATTCCATTGTGAAAGATTGCCTCTGTTCAGAAGCTTCTTGAGATAAAGACCGATGACTGCTGCTCTCTCCTTGAGCAGGTTGACTGGTCTTGTATCTGCCACCTCCCTCTTTAGTCTTCTACAGGCAGCCTGAGGTGGATGGGTCTGCTGGGTCCTTTGCGCCTATTCAGGAATATAGTTAAATAAAAGTTTTTGTGCCGGAAGGTCAGCTTTTATTCAGAGTGGTGCAGAAAGCAAATGATCCTGGTTGTCTTGTTAAATCAGCTAGCACTTTATTGCTATCCTAGTTTAAAAGATGCTGCAACAAATCTATGTAGGTTTTAATTAAACAGGTCAGGTATTAGAATCTCTAGTTTTGTACCGAAGTTCATTATAAACAAAAAGGATGAATAAGTGGTATTTTATCATTCAAGTTCTGTAGCTATCAGTCTCTTAGGTGATCTAATCTGCTAAGAAATAAAACAGTCTCTATGTAAATAATACTTGTTGGGCTAGTGCAGAGTGTATACCAGCAACCCTCTCTTCTCTTTGCTGTTATTAAAGGACTTTAACTTGCCAGCTGTTCATAAACAGAAAGGAACGTTTTCAAGGTAATAAAGTTAACAACAGACATCTTGTGGCTGATAGTATCACTTTAAGCATAAGATATTGCATGCACTTAGTCAACTATAACCAGAGTTCATTGATTAGAGTGAAAAAGTATTGTACGCAGCTTGCCATTCCTTCCCATAGAGGCAGCATGATACAGAGCAACCCTCAATCTAAAGTTAGCCATAAACAGTAAAGATTTTGACAAGCAAAGTCAAAGATCTAAGGTCTATGATGTCAGAAAGATTCAAGTATAACTGCCAATCCTCCTTTTTTTAATTCGTCTATTGACTCAGCTCTATGCAGTGTATGAAAAGTGTATGCGGCTGAATGGATCAGAAAACACAAGTGGCCCATAAAGTGTTTGTTTCGGGTCATGCTGAAATAAACAAAAGAAGCAGTGTAATTCTGCGTCCATTTTACCAAACAGTTACCTGAACAGGCCAGCAGCCCAGGAAAGTGCAAACACAAGGACAAATACAGACATTATTATCATAGGCATGAACACATAGGCACTTTTGGGTCGCTTAGGCTGTGTGTGTTCAGCAGAATTATTTTTAGGGGTCCTGTTGCCTGCTGATACTCATTTCTTGTGCTTCAATCAATTGGTTCAATAAGACATTCATTTTTGGGGGGGAATTTACAGATGTATCCTAAAGGGTGTCTAACCCAAGAGATTCATTCCCTACTCCAGCTAAATATTTTGTTTCCAGTTATGGATAGAGAGGGGAAGATTTAAAGAAGAACTCTGAGCAAAACTTTTCTTAACCCTTGCAGTGGGGCTACCCCCCAAGTGCATCTATTTCTCAAATGATCTATTTTGATTGCCCAGGTATTACTATTCATAATTATTGAATAAAGTTGCATAATTATTATTGCATAAAACGACCCATTAGCTGGAGAGTGGCACTGAATGCAGGAAGTGATGTGAATATACATCACTTCCTGCATTCGGGGACTAAGAGGAGATCAAAGGGAGTTCGTATACTGAACTCCCTTTGATCTCCTGTCACAGAGCCGTGCCGGTCCCGGCCGCATCGGGCACAGTGGATCTCGGGACCGGCAACGGCAGTGACAGCTGCTGATACAAGCGATCGAGCGTCTCTCGAGACGCTCGATCGCTTGACTGTAAAGCTCCGGGAAGCTGCTCGTCGGCCTCCACCGTCTGCTCGTCACGGACTGTTTGTGCTGTCCGGATAAATAACTTTACCAGCATTTGAAATGTGTTCAGAGTACAGCCAGTCTTTTCCTTAGCATTTGTGCAGTTTGTGGCGCATAGGACGAGCCCCTGCTGGTATTCATACTTCTGCCAAGTAAAATGACCCAGTTACTTAACCTGTACATGTCCTGTTGTTAAAAAAGAAAAGTTAATGTTAAAAAGAAGGGATGCACCGATACCGGTTTTTCCGGTATCGAGTACGGGTTTTTTCGGTATCCATGCTCCCTCGTCACCAGGTAACAAGGAAGCATGGAGCTGGCTTTCTGGCCAATCAGGAAGCCGGGCGTTGTGTAATAAGTCACTGCCCGGCTTCCTGATTGGTCGAGAAGCTGGCCAATCAGGAAGCGGGCAACGAGTCATTACAGGTGCCCAGCCTCCTGATTGACCGGGAAGCCGGCTCCATTCTCCCTCGTCACCTGGTGACGAGGGAGCATGAAGCCGGCTTTCTGGCCAATCAGAAAGCTAGGGGGCGGGTAATGACTCTTCAGCTTCCTGATTGGCCAACTTCCCAACCAATTAGGAAGCTAGGCGGTGAGTCATTACACGCTGCCAGACTTCTTGGCCAATCAGGAAGCTTCCTGATACTGGAAGCTCAGGTATACGGCTAAGCATCGGAGCATTTGGGTGAGTATGAGTACTTGTGCATCCCTATTAAAAAGTAGTAGATGGTAATAGTAGCAGTAAATATAGACTATAGCTAGTACTAGGTAGTCACATCTAACTGGATTTGCTCTGTGTTCCCTTATGTTTTCTTGCAGTTTTCTCATATTACTGCACCAATTTCAGGGTCTACAACTCCAAAATGATTGCCAATATATCTGTAAAGGTTCTTATCTCTCCATATCCTACTGGCTATACCGTAACCTACATAAGTGAGAACCTTCATAGACCCATGAATTGAATCTTGTCAGAACTTCCCTGGATGATGACAAACTAATAGAAGAAATATACAGTTGTTCCACATAGACTGTGTAATATATTTAGTTATTTAAGATATGCAGATATTTTTTCTTTGATGTGCAACTGTGTGTAGCTAAAATGTTCTATAGATACTCACTGCTACAAACTCCTCAAAGTCAATTTTGCCATCCTTGTTGCTGTCAGCTGCTGTGAAAATCTTCTCTATAATCTCTCTCACGCGGTAGCCTGGCAGTGGGAGATTTGCTTCTTTGAACAACTGTTGGAGCTCATAGTCATTAACATGTCCGCTGTTGTCTGTATCTGCAGTAAGAAAGACATGTTTTTTACTTATTCATGAAACAGTGAACATACTGTTGTAGTAGCACTGGACTTTGCAAGCATTCTATCCAAATATATTGCTATATGAGGACTGCTGATGTCCTTGTGGGATCTAAACCACAGGTGAAGCTTTCAACTCACCAAAGTGACACTAAACTCAGGATTTAAATCTTAAAAATACATTCAAGTACCTTATCTAATAACAAAATGTATGCGGACAATGCCATTCCTTCTGGAGGGTGGCTACTTTTGTTCCCCATGGTCCCTGTATGTGCTGTAAAGTAGCCACCACTCGAAGCTCCCACCTGTGATGGACTACAAGCTCACGTTTAGTTTAGTTTAGTAATTTGTATTGAGATTGTAGTCCATCACAGGAGGGTGCTTAGAGCAGTGGCTACTTTACAGCACATACAGGGAGCATGGGGAACAAAAGTAGCCACCCTCCGCAAGGAAGGACAGTGTCAGCACCAATTCAGAGATGAGTTGAGCATCTACAGACAAGTGATACACAAATAACGTACATTTTTGTTAATAGGGTACTGTGTTGCGATATATCTTAGTGGACTTTTTCAGACACACATAGATTTGCAAGAGAGACGGAGGTTTTGTTTGTTTGTTGATAGAAACTTGGTTCATACAATGGAAATGGCCAACAATACAGCCCAAACTGGTTTTACACAATGGTGTAGCTTGTCCTGTATTGATTTGTATCACAATGGGATGGTGATCGTAAATAGTCACGCCTAGCCTGGTCAAGGCTCAAATCAAATCTTGACTACTGATGGCAATTTATGGTACAACGCTGCAACCTAGAGGTGGGAAACTGTATTGCATTTTCCTAAAGGTCTAGGGGCGTAGCTTCCATTGTTTTAGGCCAGTTTTCTCTCAATAAAAAGCCAGAGCAGTTCACCAGCACAGCACTTCACAAGACCAGGGCTTCACAGGAGGGGGACAGTACGAGGGCGCTTCACAAGACGAGAGGACTTGCTTGAAGACCAGGACATACAAAGGATACTGCAACGAGAAGCCATTCTTCCTAGGCCAAGTCCTGCTCATCACGGAATTTGTGGAGCCTGCAGCCTGCAGTCTGAAGCTAAGTACATTTTCAATGTTTCCCCTCCTAGAAATCATACTTGTACTAGAAGATAGTGTAGTGGGTGCATGTGAATGTTTGTAGCAGCCAGTCATGTTGATGTATTTGTTTTTTCCTGTAACTAAGTTTTATACACGCAGCATTTTCGCCAAGTAAAGTACTTTTAATGCTACTGGGTCAGTTTCCTTGAAGTTTACTGCAAGAACAGACAACAAATAGAAATTAAAGTTTTGCCAAGCTTTACAGCTGGGCTCATCCTTGAGACGTAACTGGGATTTGTAGTCCAGAGCATTACAGGTACTTGAATGTATTTTTAACCACTTGATGACTGGGGTGTTAAACCCCCTTCCTGTCCCGGCCATTTTCCAGTATTCAGAGCTGCAGTATTTTGACTGACATTTACTCAGTCATGCAAGGCTGTACCAAAATGAATTTTATATCACCACTTTTTTTTATTGTTTTACTATATAAAGAAAAAAGTACCAACATTTTTGAAAAGAGAAACTGTTTTCCTTAAGTTACACTATGACACATTCATTATTACCCAATTTTTTAGTACAATATAAAAGGTGGGGTCACATCAGGTAAATAGTTTCCAAACATGTCATGCCTTAAAATTGCATGCGGACATGAAATTGCTTAGCAATTTCGTGTTAACAATGATTGATGGACCTATTTGGCTATACAAACCATTTATGTTCCCATCCTCAAAAGAAGATGTGTTATAAGTTATGCTGCTGCGCAGCAAACAAGAAGTTATATACATAATAAATATTAGTTATTATTTATCTTCTTTAAATTAAAATGTGGTTTTAATAACAGTGACAAAAGGACAAAATAGGACCTATAGCACAATTAAACCTCTCCAATGGAATTTACGGTATAAGGTATGATATAAACCAGGGATGCACCAATACCGATACTAGTATTGGTATCGGTGCCGATGCCGAGTATTTGGGGGAGTACACGTACTCGTCCAAATGTTCCGATGCCCAGCCCGATATTTGACCTTCCGGTATCAGGATTCCGGCCTCCTGATTGGCCAGGAAGCCGGCTCCATCGTCACTTGCATGTAATGACACACTGCTCGTCTTCCTGATTGGTCGGGAAGCTGGCCAATTGGGAAGCCGGACGGTCGAGTTATTACACGCCCCTCCCCACCCCCGGCTTTCTGATTGTCCAGAAAACCAGCTTCATGCTCCCTTGTCACCTAGTGACAGGGAGCAAAGAGCAGACATGTGGCTTGCCTTGCTGTGTCTGTGTTTTTGTGGAGACACACAAAACTTACTTGCACACACAAGGGTAGCTCCATAGGACCCTGCATGGGAATAGAGCCGCCCTTAATCAGGGCATCAGGGCAGCTGCTGGGGGGACCAACTGATTCTGCACTAAACTTTTAAACATGAAGGAACAGCATCCATTGTAAGTGATTTCATCAGGGTTTAAAAAAAAATAGCTTAAAAAACTTTTTGACTTTAATGTCACTTTAATCTGGCCCATCAAGCATTTGCACTTAGTATTGTGAATGCTGTAAATGCCATCCTCATAGTAATAATTAGTTTGAGTTCACTTCCTAATTATTACAAAGAATAGAAGTGCAGGTTAATACTTCACTAGTGGTTCTACAGCCCTTACAAATATGTAACTTTGTACATGCTTTTCACATGGAATAATGTTATAAAGCTTATCCTGTATAAGCTATACAGTTGTGATTTACTGCTGCATGCACAAAGTACATTGCATGGCGGCCTTGCTTCTGCCTTATAAGGAATTGTTTTCTTCATAGATAAAGATGACCTAGCTTCCTCCTAGTTTCAAGTTCATTGTGAACAAAAAAAAACCATTTCTCTTGACGTTTATTGGGGACCACAGTATCATTAATGGGGATATTGCAGTCGACAAAATGTGTGGGTAAATTCAAAAGAAAATAGGCTTGTCCCACATCAAAGAGACCAGGCATAGCCATAGCAGAGATTGCACCAAGAAGGACAACAACGGTTGTGTTAGAGTCCAGAACCAAACATAGTGTGTTCATAAAGGATGACAGATCTGTAGAAGCAGGTAAAACTCCTACACTCTAACTACGTTCAGGTTGGGAAGCTCCACAACATGACAGAAACAGGACAGAGGATGATATGACTTATTTTCTTCATAGAGAGAAGAGGAGAAAAGAATGAAGGAAGGATTGAGCTGTAAACTTAACATTTTTAAGACATGGCTGAGAGGGTTAAGATCAGGAACATATTGTCTGCAACAAACAATGCTGTTTTAAGCACCTCTCTCTGGGCAGGTTATTAACACCTCCTAGCTACAAATATGCAAATGCAATCAACGCCTGGTTGCGATTAACAGATTATGTGGATTGGAGCAACATTCACCATATTTATTCCCAGATAATTTTTTGTACAAGTCATTTTGAATTGAGAAAGCTGGTTGGATGACCAGTGAAACATCTTCAAGAAAAAAACAGCAAGTCCAGTTGCCTTGACTTATTTTTTACAGATAAAAACATCAGGGCCCTGTTGCAAGAAACCATGAAGGGCAGAATCCTAGGGCCCAGTGGCACATGCGACCACTGTGACCCTGGTAGTTCTAGTGGTAGTGCAAGATGTCTCCTTGTGTGTGACAAATTCATCTATAGCAGCCCAACAATGCTTGCTTAGCTGATATAACTTATATCAGCTGTGTAGTGTTGGGCTGCTAAAGATGAATTTGGCACACACAAGGAGGCACCTTCCTTCACACCAACACCACCTCACAACTTTTGCTTCCCACTCTCTTCAGCTGTGACGTCACACTCTCACACAGCTCAGACTCCTCCCCTCAGCGTGTCAGTGCCACATCCTCCGTTGACATCAGCGGCAGTCATCTTGGAGGAGCAGCAGGCATTGGTGGTAACGGCTGTGTTCTCCAAACAAGGAACCAGTGGAGTGGAGAGAGCTAGCCGGGAGGAGAGCACAGCCTAATGAGCAGAGAGCGGGCTGCCAGAGAGCCCTCCCCTGCCCATCTAACATGCCATAGGAGTCTAACATGTCGTAGGAGTCCCTGGGTGGTTACTGGGGCCAGGCAACAATGTGGGGTGTGCCCTCTTCTTTCTTTCTTTCTGCCCCCCCCACTACCACCACCACCAAGTGACGGAACAGCAGGGCCCGGTCGCACAAGCGACCACTGCGAGTCTGGTAGTTCCACCAGTGTTTGTGGTACATTACAGATTTGGTCTGCATACATGCATTAAACTTAATCTGGTAAATATTAAGAGAACACATCTTTCTGCTATGGAATTGGATCGTTTATATAGAAAAATCCAGGACCCTTGGAAAGTACATTCTCATTATAATCTATCCATAATGTAAGATTTCCCTCCAAGGCTCCATACATAGTTCCACTGCAACATTCCAGTGCACTGAGGGAAATAGGCCCATGGCATCCTTCCATTTAAACATGATATCCTTTGTCTAAACCATGGCTCTAGAAAGTTTATTTTTTTATGGAAAGTCAAGAAAATCCTTGACCTATGTCCTCAAAGTAAAAAGGCTGCAGTCCAGTCTTCTAGAGTTTCCTAGGCTATGTCCTTTTTAGGTTATTCGTTGGGAGCCTTGGAGACGTTGCCCCTAAAAGAATGAATTAGATAAAGGCTATCTGTTCACAAAAACTAATGGGAACTCCTAATAATTTCTTGTAGAGTACGTAAAGCAGGAGTGTTAAAGTGTTATTAAACCCTCCATTTTTTTTGTTGCATATATCTACTGCTACTAAGGGCCCTATGTTCCTTAGCTCCGCCACTGGATGCGTGCACCCGCATGCAGACACCGTTGGACAGGAAGTGCCAGCAAGCACAGAGGAGTCAGCGCTGGATCGGAGACGTGCCGCAGCGCTGGAGGGACAGATG